TGACTGATGTTTGTGCATTCTTTTGGGTTAGGCTCCTGTTTTCTTTCTCACTCTGCCACAAATCCTTAATCATTTAACCAGAGGTTTTTTGGGACCACGGAAGGGAAATTAATTTTAAATGCCTACTTTTGGAGAAGAAAAAGAACAGAGACAAAGAAAGCAGCTTAAGGGGCTTCTAATTAAATTTAGCATCAACATTTGTAGAACTATAATGGACACTTGGAGAGTTGATGAAGATGGTCAAATATTTCAGAGCCAATCTCTACTATTTGGTTTATATGGTCAAAAAATAAAAGGTTTAGTTGGAGGACAGAGAGAAAGTGATCTGAAACTGAGTGGGCAACTCCCTCCCTGCTGGTTAGTTTTCATAGCACTAGAAGGTGCTATGCAGGCTGTTGGTGGAGAAAAGACATCAGTGATCTTACCCAGTGCTGGGCCCTGCCTGCTACAATACCAACCTGCCATGCAAGATATGCCCACATATAACAATGGCATCACTGTTATACGCTTAGTACTTTAACCTGGTCAAAAGCCCATGGTTGGGGGTTCACAGACCTAGGGATGAGTCTACTAGCATTTTGTTAAATATGGTCAAATTGCCTTCAGAACATTTACTTTTTTTACCCATAGACCTGGGCTGCTTTCAGTCTTGGTCAGGGAAACTTCAATGTCTTTGGGAAGCAGATAATGTAGAGCCTCATAATTGGTCAAAAAGCAGAATAAGTGACTACGGAGTGCTCAGCCTAAATGGACTCTGTCCCCTATAGCCTCAGAGCCCAGGAGACATTGCTGATGAGGGGTTAGAAAGAATATTACAGCTACAGGATAAGGGGGAGGCTGTAAAATGGTGTCTTCTGGATTTAACAAGTTGCACTCACGAAGTCACAGCAGCTGGGGTTACCTGCATAAGACCTGCACAGTATCAAGCCAAGGCATATTACAGCATGGGTGGGTAGTGGTGGTGGAGCTCATGAAGCTCATGTTGGCAGTTGATGGCCACTGGGAAAGGTAGAGTTAAATTTCTCCAGTGATGGGGCCTGGTAGGTTTCCCATATTCCACACACCTATGTTCATGTGAGCGGTACTAACTGGACTCAGTGAGTTATAGAAAATAATGGAAGACATGAAGGATCTGCAGGAAAAGGGAAGAGAGGGTAAGAGCTGAATATTATCAAGACACATGGCACACACTTATGAATTTATCAAAGAATAAATGCATATTTAAAAAATATTAAAAATTAGGATATGAATTGTTCAGGCAAATTAAAGGTCCGTGTTAACTCATTAGCTGATGACAACTTACTAGATGATTGCTTTATTCACTGTTAAATTTTAATTGCATAGTCATAACTTTATGAATATATTCTGGCAATAGGCCATTTCTCCACTTGACAGCCAATCCCACCAGCACTGGGCAATGCTGGCAGCCATTGCTTTCTTTTCATGGTAACAGCAACTATGTACAAAGAATTCACCGCTGTCCAGGCTGGGATATACAACCCAGCAGACTCCTACCATGCTTTCAGTGAAGAGGACTTGTAGCCAGATACATGGATGCTTCTCCACACATGCCAAGCAGACATCACCTGGGTGTCTCCTAATTCAATTCCTTTCTAACACCATGTCCTCAAATAGCTCACAGGTTCAAGGCTCATTACCACAATACCATCCCTGTTCCAATGCCAGCCTTAAGTCCGGGACCTTCGTTCTTCTAACCAATCACGTATGAGTCAGGGGTTTCTATACTCTTTTCTCTGGTTCGATAATTTGTTAGAACATCTTATAAAGCTCAGGGAAATATCTCACTTATTTATTATTTGTGTGTACTGTATGTATACACGTAGGTACTGGTGTGCATACCTGTGTGCACATGCACATGTGAAGGCCAGAAGAGGACATCAGATGGCCTTTGTCACTCTGCCTTATTTCTTATTTTTGAGGCAAAGTATCTCTCTGAACCTGGAGTTCACTTTTTTTTCCCCACTTAGGCTGGCAGCCAGCAATCCTCAGTGACCACCCTGCCTTTATCTTGGGCAATGCGTGTGTGTGTGTGTGTGTGTGTGTGTGTGTGTGTGTGTGTGTATTGTTGGCATGTGTGAAAATGCCCTGCTTGTTACATGGGTGCTGGAGTTGAAATGACTCAGGAAATGTCATTTTGCTTTGACTCCATTTTGTGTTTGCTTAGACAGTTCCCAGCCCTCTCCCTCTCTCTCCCCATAGCAGTCATGTCTGCCTTGGCAACACATTTGTGATTTCTATGGCCTTGGATGTATTAACTAAAATAATTAATGTAAACTAAAACAACTGAAAAAGATATGTCTTTAAAAAAATAACTGGCATGCTATGTCTAAAATAATTGTTATTCTCTACCAGGAATAAATGTTTCAAAGTTACTATGACCCTCATTTAACTTTGATGTAAATTATGGTCCTTGTGGTTTTTGCCTTTAAACATTCTGTACTGAATTGGGACTCCTGAGTTGGGGCTATTTCTGGTGTTGGCGCGGCTCCAGGAAGAAGGCCATCACCGCCAGTCCCTCTTACGGTCCCGTAGTGAAGGGAGATGAGCGAGTCCAGCTCAAAGTTCAGGCGGCCTCTGGCCTCCAAGCAGGAGAAGGATGGGACTGAAAAGCGAGGGCTTCCGGTGAGTCCCGGGACGGCGCTGGTAGGGAGCCCAGTGGAGTACCAACACCGAGGAGACCTCCGGACCCACCAAAGGGAAGCAAAAGTAAGGGTGCTGCCAAGACGCGGAAAACTACCACAGCTCCAGGGAGGAAACCAAGGTGCAGACCCAAGAAACTGGAGAAGAAGGAAGAGGAGGGCATTTCCCAGGAGTCCTCAGAGGAAGAGCAGCGACCATGCGCAGTGCCACCTGCTCCTTGGCCATCAAAGGAGCAGCTTTCCCCTGGGACTGGAAGCCCCGCTTCCGGGCCCCTCCCACCCCCATTGCACAGGACCGCACCAGCTACAGGCTCTGTGGCTCCCACAGGAGCAGGATTTGGCTCAGTCCCTGAGCCCTCCTCCCCAACATACCTGTCCTCTCCTGACAGGGGTAACTTCTCATTTAGGCGCAGCCTGTCCTGATGCGCACCTGCCTTAGAGACATTGCTTTGGGGTGGGGGGTGGGGGGGTCTCTTTGTCTTGCAGGTCCCTTCTGCTCTGCTGTTCCTGGCTTCCTTGTAGAGGGTCCTGGGAGCATTCCCTGGCCTTAAAGGGTCGCAGCCATCTCAATGCTGACAAGCCCCACTGGCTGACCTGGCAGCAGTAAGTGTGGTTGGTGCAGGTATGCTTAGATCCCAGCATGCCGCCTTCCCACCAAACTGTCGCAGGTGGGTTTCTCAGTCGCTTCTGCCTCTCCCACCTGACCTAGACCCTGCATAGGTTGGCTAAAGCACCTTGAACTACAGGAAGTAGGACATGATGGCCCCACCCACCTTGTTCTCACCTGGGACCCAACGCAGTGATGCTGGGAGTCCCCACCCACCTCCATGGTGCGGTCCTATTCTCCGGGACACTAACTCTCCTCCCCCATTCCTACTCTGGGCTGTTTCCCTTCCTCCAGTGGGGCACTAAGGAACCAGCCTTGTGCCCCCCTTTTGCTCCTCCCTGTCCCCCTGGTTCCACCTTGTCCTCTGTTCACAAACTACCTCTGGAGAGTTGTGTTGTTTTTTTTTTGCTCAGTGTTCATTCCTAGACACCCACCATTACTGCTGCTACCAGCGCCAAAGGTTCATCCTCCTGATCTGCCTGCATTCTCCCCAAGACACTCTAGGGGGAAGGGGGTCTGGGGCACAGCAGGCTGGTTACCAACCACCCCACACCAGAGAAGATGGGGCCCTGCCCCACGGATGCTGCAGCAGTGAGCAGGGGCCCGTTTTGATGGGAAAAGGGTGCAGGACTACCTTCTCCCATTGTTCTGTGCAGGAGGGGTGGCCAGTACCTGTCCTGTCCTGGGGCTCCTCCTCTGGTTTCCTATTTGAGTTACTTGAATAAAAAAAATAGCCTTTTCTAGAAAACAAAACAAAAACCAAACAAACAAAATACAAACCACCACCACCAACAAAACTCTGCACTGCTGAGTTTGGGCACCAAGATACTTTTCAGAGGCATAAGATCACTCTTAGTCTAGCCATCAATAGAAAGGACTTAAAACTTTTAATTGACTTAATCAACGTGGTTGTCAATAATTATCTAATGTGAATCATTTCATTGGAGGCCTCAGCGAGATCCCTTACACATGTGGGACTCAGCCTCACTCTTGGCCTTCCTGGCCAGGGAAGTTTGCAGGGGAGGTGCTCCCTGACAAATATTCCAGATCCTCACTCCTCTCTCTGAGTCTGGAGAGGTCTGGAGTAACCTGCATGTTCCCCACACCAAAATAGAATCCCTTTGACACTCCAAGGAAGTAAATCTATACTAAATTCAGTTTTGGTTCTAGGTAAATGAAGACAGGCCCAAGGGATTTGGGATCTCCTTGAGATAGGGAGATTCTTTGGGGGTGGGTAGGGTGGGTGGGAACCTTCTTCCTGGTTTGGGACAGGAAGCAGACAAACTCACCCTGGGCCAGAACCTGAATTTAATGACTTCCTGTGCTGTGAAAACCCTCCTGAGATAGACACATGGCCAGTGGATGCTAAATGCCCATGTCACTCAGTATCAGAGTCTGTTGTTTCATCAGCCCCACCTCACTTGAGCTGCTGTACAGAGTCGCTACCCTGTGACATCGATGCTTGATGACAACCCTGAGGTCCCCCTCCATGACGATGAGGACTGGCTGGACATTCTCAGGCCAATTGCCCAGAACTCCAGGACACCCCCTTGTCTGAGGCAGAGCCCGATCTGTTTAACAATAGAAACAGTGTGGTCATCAGCAGAGTGAGGAGAGCTGGAGCACCAGTCACTACGCAATGGGCCACCATTGGGCACAAGTTTTGCCACCAGGTACATTGATTGGCCCAGAAGGCAGAGCTGATGGTGCTTACTCAAGCCTAATGTTGGGAAAGGACAAATGAGTGAACATTTATACAGAAACAGGTGTGCTTTTGCTGTCCTTCATGTCTATGCCATGATTTATAAAGACAGAGACCTATTGACTGCTGAAGAAAAAAACTTAAAAGTGAAGAAAAAAAATTCTCACTCTCCTGATAGTGGTCTGCTTCCCCAAGGAGGTGGCTGTTAGTCATTCAAAGGGCATCAAACAGCAGCACACCTGAAGCTAAGGAAACCAGAGGGCAGACCAGGCAGCCTGACAAGCAGCAGATAGGGTGTCTGTGGAACCCCTTCCTGTTTTTCTCATTGCTTTTTCTGATCCACAGCTCCTTCCCCAACCTACCCACTCCCAGGAAGAAGAGAAGAAGGCTTGCTCCCAGGATGCAAAATAAGGTCCAACTGAATGGTAGATCTTGCCAGACTCAAGAATTATCTTCCCCAAGGCCCCTTTGGTGAGCTAACTGCACCAGACTACCCATTTGAGTGCCACCAGACTAACTGAGTTATTATATTCCAGGAATTAGATTCTGCATCTCTGAGAGATGGCAGACTACCTCCAAATGTCTCTCCTGCACACAACCAACCAACTCCAATCAAGTCAAGGGGCAAAATGAGTCCTCACCATTTGTGTGAGGGGACTAGTTCCTGGTGAGGAATCGGAAGTTGATTTCACAGAGATGAGGCCTCCTCATGTTGGGTATAAGTATCTGTTAGTGTTTGTGGACACTTTCTCAGGATAGGTAGAAACCTTTACTATCTAGAGAGACTACTCTGACAGTGGTCAATACTCTATTACATTGATTATTCCTAGGTTCAGGCTTCCGCTTTCAATTGGATTAGATGATAGACCTGCCTTTACTTCATGCATAGCTCAAATGGTCAGTAAGGTCTTAAATGTAACTTGGAAGCTCTGCTGCACTTACTGACCTCAGAGCTGTGGACAGAGCATGTAAATACATGATCTGGACTATTAAGTCAGTCAATCCTCTCTAAAATAATTTTTAAAACTGGTAAAAATTGGCCCAACCTTTAATAGCTGGCCCTTCTCAAGGCAAGAGCTATTGCCAACAAGGCAGGATTCACTTCATATGAGATTATGTTTTGAATGTATCTTAGTCACCATTCTATTGTTATGAAGAGACACCATGACCAACGTGTCTTTTCTTATGAAAGAAAGCATTTAATTGGGGGTTTGGTTATAGTCTTGGGGGTTTAGTTCATTAATATCATGGTGGGAAGCATGGCAGCATGCTACATCTCGATCCATAGGCAGAGAGAGAGAAAGACACTGGGTTTGGCATGAGCTTTTTAAACATCAAAGCCCACCCCCAGTGACAGATTTCCTCCAACAAAGCCACACCTCCTAATCCTTTTAAATAGTGCCTCTGGTGACTAAGCATTCAAATATATGAGCCCATGGTGACCATTCTTATGCAAACTAACACATAAAGGCATCAAGGTGGGTTGTCCTGTTCACGTGACCATATCATTAAAAAATTACTAATTCGAGCCGGGCGTGGTGGCGCACGCCTTTAATCCCAGCACTCGGGAGGCAGAGGCAGGCGGATCTTTGTGAGTTCGAGGCCAGCCTGGGCTACCAAGTGAGCTCCAGGAAAGGCGCAAAGCTACGCAGAGAAACCCTGTCTCGAAAAACCAAAAAAAAAAAAAAAAAAAAAATTACTAATTGGTTTCTTTTAAAGTATCTCTATTCTCTCCAACAGGTCCACATTGCAGTCCACTGTAGGGTTTGAGACACCTTTCTGGTTTCCTTCTTGGTGCCCCATCATTCATTTTGACCCTGGGAACCAAATGTGCATCGAGAAGTTTCAGAAAGGACTGACTTGCCTGGAAAGGATCTCATACTGTCATCCTGACAGCACCAACTGCAGTCAAAGGTTGTGGGATCCCTAACTGGATTCATCACTCCTGCGCTAAGCCTGCTCCAGACCAGGATGGGAAATGGACCAGAGCCACTCAGGCCAAGACTCTCTCCAGGTATTGTTTGGTTATATATTCCCTCTTTCTGGCTGTTCTGGAACTTGCTTTGTAGATCAGGCTGAACTGGAACTCAGAGATCTGCCTGTCTCTGCGTCCTGAGTGCTGGGATTAAAGGCCTGTGAGACCACTTCTGGTATTATGTTCATCTTAACACAGAAGCTTATTTTTGCTCTCACAGAGACTTGGTTTGCCTGTGCCACTGGCCTCACCTGCTGTATGACCTCAAAGCTTCTGTATAATAATTCAGTTTTATGTATAGTTGTACATGCTTATTCAGGACTACTGGTGGTACTAGGGCTTCCCCTCTCCTAGTTCCAAAGGTGGTAGGAATGAGGGTGACAGAGACTGCTGCCTTGAGTACTATGGCCCTAATCAGAGGAGAAATGGGCCTATGTCGTCAGATGACATCATCAGATATGTCATCAGAGGTAGACATTGGACATCTTCACTTCATGGCCAGGAAGAGTCTTCAAACTTTTAACTGGCTTAATCAGCGTGGGTGTCAACCACTATCTCTCATGGATCATTTCAGAATGAAACTGAGGTCTTTATGGTTGCACAGCACTCTTAACCACTGAGCTATCTCACCAGCCCCACTTCCTGTCTTTACCAGACACAGCGGTGGTGGGCTCACCACTTCAGAGCCCATATTTAGGCCGTAGAGTTGTAGGAAGGAAAGTGTGTCTATTTAAGGGCTGCCCTTAGGAGAAGGTCATTGTCCCCTAAACAAAGACTATCTTAAGTAACTCAGGAGCAAAAAGGGCTTTTATAGAGAGGAAAGGAGCTCTGTGGGTGAAAGATCATGTGACTGGAGAGGGTGGGTCTTCTTGGCCAGGGCCTGTGGTCACCTTTCTCTTCTTTCCATCCTTGGGTTAGCAGTTGATTTTGTCTCTGAAGCCAGTTTCTGTAATTCTTCAGATCAACTCATTTTCTTATGAGTTAAACATTATCCCACTTTTAACTAAAGAACAAGACTAGTGAGTCCTTGGTCTGCTCTTCAGTGCTATCTGAAGATCATTAGCTAGTCCAGGCTTTGGAAACTGATAAAAGATTAGCAATTAGGGAGTCTGCTTTTCCTGCAATCAATGAATCCAACAGCTAGTGTTCCCCGGAATGAAGGGAGTTTTTGTTTATTTTTAAGTTACAGTGCAGAGTAAATGGTGAGGCAGCAGGAAAGAATATTGTTTTTTTAAAATCTTTTAAAAATTAATTTATTTTCTTTATGTGTATGAGTGTTTTGCCTCCATGCAAGTCTGTACACCATGTGCATACCTTGTGCCTGTGGAGGTCAGAAAAGGCCCTGGAACCCCTGGAACTGGACTTGTAGATGGTAGTGAGCCACCATGTGGGTATTGGAAATCAAAACCAGGTGCTCTGCAAGAGCAACAAGTATTCTTAACTACTGACCCAACTCTTTCCAGTCCCAAGGACAACTGTACAAAGAGAAATTTGTGAAATAGAGATAACCTAAAATTAGATGGCATAAGACACAGAGGCACTATCATTATTGCTGTTATACTTTGTTATAAATGATATGATATGACTCATGGTTGGAAAGATGGCTCAGTCAATAAAATGCTTTCTTTGCAAGCACAGGGAATCAAGTTTAATCTCCAGGATCCATGTATAAAGCCTCATGTGGTATCATGCACTTATAATCCTGGAGCCCATGAGGCAGAAACAGGAGGTTCCCTAGCGCTTATTATCCAGCTAGCCTAGCTGGATCAGTGAGCCTCAGGCCAATGAGAAGCCCTGTCTCAATAAACAAGGTGAATAGTTCCCGAGGAAGAACACCTGAGATGGCCCTCTGGTCTTCACATGCATGTGCACACATGTCCACCTGCACATATGCATGTGTGAGTGCCTTCACTCATGTGCACACACACACATATGCACAAAGCGAGTGAGCAAGCGAGTGAGTGAGAGAGAGAAAGAGAGAGACAGAAGCAGAGATGATAGATAGACTGGTGAATAGCTAGATGAAAGAGGGGGGATATGAATAGATGTCTATTTTCCCCAGATGGGCACTGATGAAAGACGAAAGACACAGTTCTACTGAAGTCCAACTTGGTGAACAGAGGTGCTCAGTAGAATGGCTGAGGAGTTTCTTGTAGGAGCACGGATGACTGAGAGACAGCTGCATCACCAGAAGCCCACTGTAGCACCGGTGAAGACTCATAAAAGCTTGCATCCCTGGAGTTCTCTGAATGACCTTCAGGCAGCATGGCAGCCCAGGAAATCTCTTATGAGCAGTTCTTATATAACCTCAGAGAGGGAAGAGCCCAGTGAATCTTGTAAGCCTCGGGGAGTTACAGGGACTTTTGAGTTGTATATTTCTTGAGTCTTAGCAGCCTCCCTCCAAGGTAGAATGTCTCATTAGAGAGAACATTGCTATACAACCAAGGGATGAACAGGGTAAAGGACTTTCTACCCTCATAGTACCTCTGGTGTTCAGCATCCTGTAAACTCATTAAATCCTGAGTTCATCAGCTTCTATTTATTTCCTGGAGAGGTGTGTGTGTGTGTGTGTGTGTGTGTGTGTGTGTGTGTGTGTGTGTGTGTGCAGTTTCCAGCCTCTGATCACTTGGTATTCCTGCTGATGGTCCTGCCAACAAGTTGTCTAGAGTTTTACTGTGTGTCACTTCATTGGAGTAAGCTCAAGTGTTATTAAAAGGGGCTAATTATGATAGCAAAAGGCATTCCTGTCACCTAGGAACTTGCAAGCATTCCAGCATCTCTCTCTCCTGAAAAGCATGGGAAAAGCCCAAATGGGTTTCTCTATACAAACTCTATGCTGTGCACTTACTTAAGGCTCATATAACCTTATAAAGTGGGTGTTATTATTATCTCTGTTTTGTCCATGAACTCAGAATTCACATAGTGACACCTGTCTCAAACCTAAAAACAACAACAACAATAATAACAATGCCTTAAAAAAACCCAAATTATTTGACTCTAATCTAGGGGGAAAATCAGACACCAATTCAAATACTGTTTGAATGGTCGGGGTGAAAAGAACTCCCCCCTCCTTTTTTAAAGATTTGCTTTTATTAATTTTATTTCTGTCTGTCTGTCTGTCTGTCTGTCTGTCTCTCCTCGTGTGTGTGTGTGTGTGTGTGTGTGTGTGTGTGTGTGTGTGTCTGTGTGCATGTGCCGACACATAGCATGGCATTTGTGTGGATGTCAGAGAGCAACGTTTTGAGAGTCGATTCTCTGCTTTCCTCTTGTGTTTGAGGCAGGGTCTCTCTTGTATTTGCTGCTGTACTGTGACAGTATTGCTAAACTCTCACACCTCCACATCTCACCACAGCAGTGTTAGAGCTGTGTTTATCAAGCCACTGTGTCTGGGTTTTTTGCATGTGTTCTGGAGACTGAACTCAGGTCATTAAGGTTGTGTGGCAAGTGTTTTTACCTACTCTGCCACCTTGCCAACCTGCTTTCCTCTTCTTCTGAGGATTTTATAATTAGATGCTGATATAAACTGACAGTAGATGAACATGGGAAATTGCACACAAGGTTATTATGAGCACAAGACACCCCAGGAAAAAGAGACCCTGATAACATAATGATTTAGGTGTGCTCTATCCATGAGGAGAGGAAAATGGGAATCATAGCAATTTAGATTGAGAATGTAGGAATTTCAAGGGACATGTGTGGTCCCAAAGAGTAGACAACAGCCCATGACAATGTCTTTCTGGGCTCTGGATCTAGCATCAGTTCTAGCTTTGTTTAACTTACATTAAATTTCCTGTTTGATGAGATTCTGAGAACAGGTTCACAACAATTACTTCTGGAAGAACTCACTCTAGTTATGTAAAGTATTGGGTGGAAACTGAGGCTGCAGTTGCTGGAAGCAGAGATTTGCACCCACAAAGCAAAAGTAAAGAACAAGATTTAAAGAAGTTGATTTCTTTAGGCTGAGACATTAAGGGCAGTGTCAGCCAGGTGCTTGGGTCTATTTAGGGTGGAAAGAAGTTGGTATCCAGTTCCTAGAAGTCTTTGGAGAGCTGCTGAAATTCCCATTTTTGTCCCTTATCTGGTTCAGCAGAAAGATGTCACAGGGTGGACATAGTACTTTTCTGCTCAGTTAAGACTTAAGTCTAGAACAAAATCTTTCTTGAGTTAATAGTCACAGTAAGTCATCATTCATGGGTATCTCAATGACTTTTCTGTTACTATGATAAAACACCATGACCAAGGCAACTTACAGAAGCAAGAGTTTATTTGGGTGTGTGGTTCCAGAGGGTTGGAGTCTATGCTGGATGGAGTGAAGGCAGGGCAGCAGAAGCAGGAAGGTGACGAGAGAGAGAGAGAGAGAGAGAGAGAGAGAGAGAGAGAGAGAGAGAGAGAGAGAGAGAGAACATTGGGAATGGTGCAAGGCATTTGAAACTTCAAAGCTTGCCCCCAGTGACAAACTTCCTGCCCCCAGTAATGCCACGCCTCCTAAGCCTCCCCAAATAATGCTACCAACTGAGGACTGTGGTGCTTTGAGTTAGGATGGGTTCCCTAGACTCACATGCTTGAATTCTTGGTCTCTAGTTAGTGGAACTGTTTGGGAAGCACTAAGAGGTACAGCCCTGTTGGAGGGGGTGTGCCACTGAGGGTGGGATTTGAGGTTTCACAAGTGCACACCAAGCCAAGTCTTTCTTCTCTCTCTCTCTGCTGGCTTCCAGTGGATCAGGTGTGAGTCCTCAGCTGCTGCTCCAGTGCCGAACCCGTCTGCCGCCATGCTCCCTGCTATGATGACCACAGACTAACCCTTAAACTCGGAAACTGTAAGCAAGCCCCCAATTAAAGGCTTTCTTCATAAATTGCCTTGGCCATGGTGTCTTTTCACACAATAGAGCAGCAACTAAGACAGAGACCAAGAGTTCAAATGCCCAAGGCTATGTGGGACATCTCATGCAAACCACCACAGCAGGGGATTTTCTTCTGTGCTTTTGGAGAGAGAATGAGGGAGAGACAAAAGGATGGGAGAAAATAAGAAAGCTCTTGGTTGTGAGGCTTTCTTTAGTTCATAACCAGCCTTCTGAAGTACTATGATTTGAGGTACTGTTTCCTAAGTCCCTGCAGGAGCCAGACAGGTAGCATTAATGAGAGGGAAGGCTAGCTAACATTCGTGAATAGTAGGAAAGGATAGGCTGAGTTTCTGTTTTCATTCCATTAAAAAGTTATCATTTATTTATTTTTGTGTGTTTGCGTGTGGGTGTGCATGGGCTACAGGGGAAGTGTGGAGGTCAGAGGGCTTGCAGGAGTGGGCTGTCTTCCACCACGGGGTCCCAGAGATGGAGCTCCAGCTGTCAGGTTTTCCCACAAGGCATCTTTACTCACCGAGCCCTCTTGTTGGCCCACTTCCCACTTTCTAATAAAGACATTTCTACAGAAAAATATTTATCCTCGATAAAAAGAAAAAGAAAGCAAATTGATGGTGGTGGAATTCAATCTCAGTGTCAGACAGACATTAGGACACACAGGAAGTGTAATGTATTCCATTTCTTGCCCTGTCTAACGTGGTTGTCACTATTAGATTTAATGTCTTCAGGTTTTTTCTCATATAAAGGAAGGTATTAATATTTTATATGAAATATATGTACCTTTAAAAAGGCAGGGTTTCTCTGTGCAACAGCTCTGGCTGTCTGGGAACTTGCTTTGTAGACCAGGCTGGCCTCAAACTCACAGAGATCCTTCTGTCTTTGCCTTCTAAGTATTGGGATTTAAGGCGTGTGCCACCACTGCCCAGCTGAAACATATGTACTTTTAATTTTTAGATAAACATTTTTAAAGATGTAACAAGACTTAGAGTCATCTTAAAAAGTCAGGCATTGCCAGTTGGCAGTCTCTGAAGGAAATGGTATCTTGTAGTGTTGTACTCGTTTTGCGAAACCCCCAGAGACCACCAAGGAGCCGGTTTCCGATGCAAGCACACAAGGGTCCTTTTATTCAGGTTCAACCTGGGCCACCGCATGGCAGATGGAAGGAAATGTGGCGGTGGCCATGAGCCCAGGTGTAGAGAGTTTTTATAAGGAAAAAACGACAAGCTGGGAATTAGCAACTTGGGACTGGGTAGAAGGGATATGGGGCAAGGTGAGTTTTTGAAACTATTGGGTTAGACTTTTGGCGTGGAACCCCAACCCCCAACCTGCTGAACAGGATTGTCTGGACTGCTCAGCAGGATTATCTAGATACCTTCAAGGGCCATAAAACTCAGACAGGATGTCTGCAGGAGCATACTGCTCTGTGTCTGTTCGAGTTGTCATGGCACATTCCTGAGGTCCTTCCTAGAACTGAGTACAGCAGGTGGTCTGAGATGGTGGCCCTTTCCCTAAGATGGAGCCTGTAAAGTCAAGTCTAGACCTTCACATTAGTTGTGTTTGTGGGGGGTCCAGTACAGTCCAGAGAGTCATCTATGGCAGTTGTACTTTCAGTTTCAAATGACTGAGTTTATTACCCATATGGTAAGAGAAAGAAAGAGAACAAACATCAGGATGACACATAATAAAACCTCACCAAATCTGCTGCTTGCCACATCCGGCAGGGAGGACTCAAGGGGCCTGATTGGGAGAATGAAGGAAACATCACCGATGAAGTGGGCTTAAAACTCCCTTCATCAACCCACTGGGGAAGACGCAGCCACGCGGGAGTTCTCATCCCAGAGCCTCTCCAGGGTGACCTTCCGGCTCTGTTCCCACCACAGGCATTTTTATACCATGGCTAAACAAGAGTGATCTGGGGGAAGGCGGTCCTCCTTTAGCTTTTCTCTGGTACACAATGTTTTTAACACTCTTGGGTGCTTCTTTTCTCATTTCAAAGCGAGGAAGGCAGCCCATCACTGGACAAGGGACCCCAGAAGACACTTAGAAACAGCCCTGCTTAAATCTGAAATGGGGTGAGGGAGGCCTTACCCTGCTTCCAAAGCCAGCTTCCTGGTGAGCTTAAATGCTCATGACAATTTGCAATATAATGCATATTACAGGGGGAGTGTACAGGTAGAAGAAAAGAGGGAAAATAGATCGACTCACGCTGTTCCTTAGTAGCAATGAAGTCAGCTGTAACAGAGGCTGTATCACAAACAGGAGTATTTTCCCAGTCAGAGAAAGAAGAGCTATGAAAACTTTTCATAATGATAGTTTCATATATTGATGAAGTGTAAAAAAAAAATCTTCATAAATATTTAAAGCGAATCAGTGTGGCCTACGAGCAACAATAATAGGGGAGTTTTTCTCTATGCACA